GATTATTTTTGTCTTTAATCAGTAAAACCAGTCTTCACTCTCCTGTAATGTGAATTGTTCTGGTTTCTGTCAAACTGAAGGTCTTTGGACAAAACTAAAGATTTTAGGAAACTGATGCACATTTGTTTCTTTTTTTCTTTTTAACCGTTTTGTACCATTTTAGGTGAAACAGCTGATTGATCCAGACAATAATCAATCATGGCAGTCATGGTTAGTTGCAGCTCTGGCAGGAATGAAGGGAGTGAACATGGGCAGAAACAGATGGAAGTCAAGAAGAAGTCCGTTTGTTTAAATAACGTCCAAGCAAACGATCATTTATATTCCATAAAAAACACAGAATAGAGAAATACAGCAGAGATGTTTATGAGCTTCATCACATCAACACATGGTCCTGACAGCTTCTAAACCACGTTGGTCTGTCTGAAATACCACCACAAATAATGATTACTTTCATTACTGATCATGTTGTGGGTAAATCGATCAGCTGTTCGGTCTCTGAAGTGTCAGAAAACGGCGACAATGTGGATCAGCTTTTCCTCAAATGTCTTGTTTTGTCCAAAGATCTTCTGTTTGCTGTCCTGGTCAGTGAAATATTCACATCGGAGACGCTGCAGTCAGACTGTTGTTAATAAAACCATCAGCTGGTGATCAGAGTATCTGAAGACTGATGATTGGCAGCTCTGAGCTTTAATGAGCTCAGCTGATCAGCGACTGTTGGATTTAATCTTTGTTTAGTTTAAACATGTTCAGATTTGTGGTTTATGTCCTCTGAGCAGCTTGTAGTTCTGGACTCAGGGTGTCACTTAAATATTCACACTGAAGAAGCTGCAGTCAGAGAGCTTTAACAGGTTTTATTTCTTTAAAACTCACTCGAACCGATTCATCGTGTATCGAGGTAGTCTGCGATTAATCGGACAGCTGACCGCCACCAGATTATTGGATCGATCAGCTCAGGTGTGAAACCAGAGACACTCAGGTGCGTCGTGTCTCTGCAGGTGCTGGACTACTGGGTGTTCGGTCGCATCTTCTGCGACATCTGGGCGGCGGTGGACGTGCTGTGCTGCACCGCCTCCATCATGTCGCTGTGCGTCATCTCCATCGACCGCTACATCGGCGTCCGCTACCCGCTGCAGTACCCCATGATCGTCACCGAGAAGCGGGCGCTGCTCGCCATGCTGGGCGTCTGGATCCTCGCCATCATCATCTCCATCGGCCCGCTGCTGGGCTGGAAGCAGCCGCCGTCGCAGGTATCGCTACCCAGCATGCACCGCTACCCAGCATGCACCGCTGCAGCAGGTCATCACCTGCAGACGCTCTGGGCCAAAACTGATGATCAGTAATCAGTGACATCCGCGACTGGTTTATAGACAAAATTTGTAGTCAAAATTGGTATCCAACGTCAGAAAAAGTTTCTATGAATATATCAGATAAAAGTTTGTGTCAGAAAAACATTAGAAACACAGTGAATGGAAAGAACAGCAACAAGATGTAAGTACGACACAATAATGAGCTAAAATGAAACATAGGACATCGATTATATCTACTTTATATGACTTTACAGACAAAGGTAAATAAAATGTGTTAAAAATAAAATGCACAAGAATAAAATGAAATAAATAAAGTTAAATAAGTCCAAAGCAGCACAGACAAGCCGAACAGAATACACATAAAACTATTCAACCGTCTCGTTTCCTTTTCACACGCTGAACTAAAAGAATGCGTCGACATTTATCCCTCGGTGCTGATTGGCTGTTACTGGTCACATGGAACCAATCAGATCCAAAAGAGCAGATTTTTCAATCCGTCCAGGCTGTCGTTAACAGGGACACGTCTGATGTTACCGGACTCACACAGACATCATCATTTACATGTATTGTAGACACCAGAGGCGCCTGAACGCACCACTGCTGCTGGAGCTAAACACCAGAATAAATGCTGTAAAGACACAGACCTGAATAACCTGCGAGGAGAAAACAAAATGTGAGAAAATGCAAATTCAAACACGAAATAGTGTCTGTTTCTGGCTGGCCAGACGAACAGCAGGTGGCGCTGGTCGTCCAGCCGTCGTCTAAAACTGCTGCAGAAGAAGATCGTTCAAAGAAAAGATCTTTCTGTTGGTTGCATGTGTCGATGTGAGGAAGGTCACAGCTTCGTCACGACTTCACACACAGCTGAACACGACGGCCATCATCGCACCGGAAACGGTGACTGTTTCTGGATGAGTCAGTCAGCTGTTTGGTCTGAAATGTCAAAAGAAAAAGGTGAAAAATGAGGATCAGAGTCCTCGTTTGGTCCACAGAGCTTCAGTTTGCTGTCACAGAGGAGAGAAACCAGAAAGCATTCACACCGAAGGAGAAGAAATCACAGAACTTAGATTATTTTTAATTTAAAATGCACTCAAACTGATTAATGTAATAGTCGACACGATTTGTGGAAAATATCTCATTGTGTTTTGATGAGAAACACATTAATTGTGTTTTGTTTGTTGAAAGTCAAGTTCTCATTTAAAACTTAAAAGGCTGCTCATCAGTCGAGGCTGCAGCTTGTAGTTATTTACAGCTGTAGTCGGTTAGAAACACATGATGCTGTCCAATAAATCAGAACTGGGCCCAAAACGAACAGTCGCGTAAGATGAAAGTTAGTGTTCTCATTTTGCTCAGAGACTCTGTGCATCTAAAATCATGTTGATTTAATGTCTGCAGGAAAACACATGAATCCTCTGAACTCTGAGCAGCTTCTGTCTCGTGTTCCTTCACTGAGGTTCATGTTTAAAGTCCTGCAGCTCTGAGGAACCAGAACATGAAGCAGGAGGAGAACTCAGAGATGATTCTGTCAGCAGGACTCAGAACCGTGGAGATTAGACAAAAAAAATAAAAATTCTTTGGATCATTTGTTCCTTCTGAGGTTCCACAGATGTCACCAAAAACACGGCGGCTGCACACGCTGGAGATGTTTAACCATGTTCATGTTTATATGTCTCTGCAGGACGACACCGTTTGTCTGATCACCGAGGAGCCCTTCTACGCCCTCTTCTCGTCGCTCGGCTCCTTCTACATCCCTCTGGCCGTCATCCTCGCCATGTACTGCCGAGTCTACGTCGTGGCCAAACGCACCACCAAGAACCTGGAGGCCGGCGTGATGAAGGAGCGAGCCGAGGACTCGAGCGAGCTGACGCTGAGGATCCACTGCAAGAACCAGCAGATCCAGGAGCTGTGCCCCGCCTCCAAGGCCGGAGGGGGCGGAGCCTCGAACGCTCGCAGCACGCTAACCGTCAAGCTGCTCAAGTTCTCCAGAGAGAAGAAGGCGGCCAAGACGCTGGGCGTGGTGGTGGGCATGTTCATCCTGTGCTGGCTGCCCTTCTTCCTGGCTCTGCCCATCGGTACGTTCACACACCGACATGTACGAAACACAGCTTGTTCATAGATGATCATTTAAACTTCTGAGGAGCTGCTTGGATGGGAACACGTCTGTGTAGAACATCAGCCTCCAGGTCATGGTGATCCACGGAGCTCCAGCAGAAAGCCTTGATCATTAATAGGTGCTCAGGTCCAGACAGTGAGAGGGTTTGTTCAGTTCTCTGATGGTTCTGGATGAGAAGCTGTGTTTCAGTCTGTTTGTCTGATTTCATGGACCTGGAGCTTCTACCTGAGGGTCCAACAGATAGTGTCCAGGATGGGACTGGTCCTTCAGAACGTTTGCTGCTCTCCTGAGGCAGCCAGAGAGAGTCCTCTACAGAAAGCAGCGAGAAGCTGATGATCCTCTGGAGGGTGTTGATGATCTTCTGGAGGGTCCTCATGCTAGAAAGATCCTGCAGGTGTTTTCTTTCTCAGGAAGTTGAGTCACTGCTTCGTCACTGCTGCTGAGGTACTGGTGGTCCAGGAAAGATCTTTGTCAGTGTTTGTAGCAGGAAACTGAGGGCAGGAACTCTTCCACACAGTTCCCATTCATGGTTAGTGGATCAGGGTCGGTTTGGTTTATTCTGAAGTCCATGATGAGTTCTTTCGTTTTTGTGGAGTTCAGAACCAGGTTCTTCTCTGAACGTCAGTCTTTGGACTTCATCTCTGGAGTCGTCTCCTCCTGAGAAAAGTCCAACCACAGTGGTGTTGAACTAACTGATGGTGCTGGAGTTCTGGACGTGCAGTCGTACGTACAGCGCTGATGGTGGAGCAGAGCTGGTGTTCTGTTCTGACCATCTGGTTGGTATGAAGGTCTTTGATCCAGGAGGGCTGTGAAGGTCCCTCCGTTTAGAGACCAGTCCGCTGATGACAGTGTTGAAGGCAGAACTGAAGTATCTATGGATGCTTCCTCACACAGCTCCCCTGGTGGTCGGGGTGGGTCAGTGCACTGTGAAGAGCAGCATCCTCTGAAGACCGGTGGCGACTGAAGGTGGGAGGCTGTCGGACCAGAACATCACATCTCAGTGTTTCATAGTGACCAATGGGAGTCATTCAGCTGCTGATGGGAAGATGTTTGAAGACTTCAGGCAGGATGTGATGCTGGATGTGGACAGAGAGGTTGAAGAGCTTAGTGAAGAGCGTAGGAAGCTGATCTGAGCTCAGCCTCACTGCTGCTGGCTCCACCTACAAGAAGCAGTTTAGTTCTTGGAGTCAGGAGGTTGTTGGTCCTGTGGATGGTGATGTGCTGGATGTCCTGCTATCTAAAGGTTCCTCAGTCTTCCTCCTGTAGCTGCTTTAGCTTCCTGGTGCTCTTCTTCAGGTTGGTTCCAGCAGCTCTGTGAAGATGCTGTTACCAGAGCTGAAGGAGGTGTTACGGAGAAGAGATTTAGCCTCCTCTAACCTACTCAGATGTGTTTGCTGATAGCGCCGTTGTGAACACGGTTCTGTCTGTAGATGATGTGGACGCTCCTCAGGTCATGTTCTCGTTCCTTCTCGGGGTGCATGCTGTGGCTGGGAGGAGAAGTGGTGTTGATTAAAGCCTTTCTTGGTGTTAGATGAGCTTTATCAGTGTTACATCTGTTTACAGGTTATAGGGCTAAGCTAGCATTAGCATCCAGTGGAATATAAACAACAGTACATGTTCTCCAGATCTGCAGAACCGTGGCTGTCTGTCATTTAGACATTCGTGCACCAAACGCTGTGTCCTGTTATCTCCATGGCAACACCGGGAACAAGTGGGTGAAGCCGAGTGTCTGTTGTGAGCAGAACACAACGGTTTTGTTTGAGGAGGTTTGTGGTTTTAGTTTGTTCATTCTGCTGGTGGTGGATCTGGCGTTCGTGTGAGGCTCGGTCGCGGCTCTTTGTGCGGTTGCTTCTTTGGCCTGAAGGCTGAAGTGGACCGGCATCGTCACTTCTGCTTCCTGCTCCACGTTCACGCCGGTCCACAGAGGCCCGTTGACCTGGACACGTCCTCCAGCGTGATGTGCAGAAGTTCACACTGCAGACTTGTGATCAGACGGTCCTGCCGGCTGTCGGGGGATTCACACGACTGAAACTTTGCACTAAAAAAGAAGGTTGTTGAGCTGCTGCCATCGTGTTGGGCTTTTACAGACGTTCATAAGCTGCAGAGGAAACAAAAATAACCAGTGTTTAGTTTATACTAGTAATGTGTCTGAGTGTCGAACAGCTGCTGGTCGACGTCTTCAACAAACTGTGGTGCAGTGAAACAAAATTCACTAAATTCAGAAAAACTGCATAAAGGTTGAGCATAAAAGTCCAGCAACAGATTGAAAAGCTAGATTACAAAGACAATGAAACAGAACAAAGGCAGGCTGCAGGAGGGTGGAGGTGAAACCGGGTTCTGATGTGGGTTCAGTCCTGCTCGGCGCTCTGACGTTTCACCTGAAGTAGCTTCAGTCTGCTTTAGATGAAGTGGAAGCACATTTATCTGGAAACTGGTTTCAGCTTCACAGTAATGAGTCATGTTTGGTGTAACGAGATAAAACAACTCAGCTGAACAACGGAGCCCTTTGGTGCACAGCGGAGAGAGAAAATAAAAGTGTGAAGATGCTTCAGTGTGAGATGAGAGTCAGGACGGAGCTGGGTGTGTTTTCCTCCCAATGATCTCAGCCACTGACTCAAACCATCACATTCAAACTTCTGATAAGATTTGAACCTGCCAGATGCTTCACTATTCAAACTGAGCGTCTTGTTGGAGAACATCGGATCCCGACCGACTGTCAGAAACTCCGACTGAAGATGGCGTGAAGAGGAACCGGATGTGTGTTTCGGGGCCGGAGTGATGACACCAGAGTTTGTGGGGTAGAAGTGCGACGGTCTCCAGAAAGTCTTCACAGAAAACATCCTTTCAGCTTCGTCATGTTTTGAATATTTGTGCCGAGCAGCGACGCCTCGGGTCGTCCTCGCCGACCAATCAGCAGCAGCGCTTTGCTTGTTATTCCTCGACTTTCTGTGATGAATTTCCCACAACAAGGACGGTGGAGCGACGCCAGACATTCCTGCTGCCACGGGCCGGAGCTGAGGACCATTCAGCCGACGGGAAGTCGAGAGGAAGAACTGAAGCTGACGACAGAACCGAGTCAGAACGTCTCATTGGTCAGCCATTTAGTCCCAGAACCACAGCTTATATTTATGAGGCTGTTTTTTTTTTTTTTAAATCTCCTGTCTCATGGTCCTTCACTGAGGTTCATGTTTCAACATCAAGTCCTGCAGCTCTGAGGAACCAGAACATGAAGAAGGAGGAGAACTCAGAGATGATTCTGTCAGCAGGACTCAGAACCAGAGACCAGAGAACAAAAATAAAAAAACGTCCTCTTCAATTACTTTACATAAATAACAGAAGCAGCTACAGTCTGGTTGTTCTTGTGGTGTTATTGTCACATGGTGTTAACTTTACGTGTTTCTGTGATGATTTTATGTCACATTTCATGTCGTTACAGTGATTCTGTGTCACATTGTGGTGGTTTTATGTCTGTTTGTGTCACAGAGGAAACCAAAGGTAAAACAACAACAGCTTTTAATATTTGTTTTACAAAAACTAGTTCAATAAAATAAAAGCAGGCACCTGGAACCATCATGTCCAACATGTTTCAGGGGTCCACAGATGTTACCACCACTGGAGATGTGCTGCTTGTGAAGGAACACCTACACTCCTCTGGGGTGAAGCTTCCAGAGATGGGACTGAACTTTCACCCTTAACGCCTCCTCTGACAGATGTGTACCGATCTCCAGAGGTTCTGTAGGTTCCTGACCTCATGTAGATCTGTTGCACCTCTCAAGACGCCGGACTGTCTTTGTGTTCCTCTGGTCGGATGCTGATGAACCTTTTTTCAACCCTCTGAGTCTCTCTGTGTCGGTTCATCATCCTCCTCCAGAATTCCTCAACAAACCGTCTGAAAGCAGAAAGTCCAACAATTCTTTATGTCATTCTGAAGTCTTAAATTGGAAAATCCACCCAAAGAGCATCTCTGACTGACCTGAGAAGGAACCGTTCTTCACTTTACTGACACCTGAAGAACCACAAAGATCAGACCAACCAGCGGCTGAACTAAACGTGTTACGAGCTGATCACGGAGATGAACAAATGGAATCCAGTGTTTTATGACTTTCAGACATCTGAGGAACGCTGCTGTGAAAAAGGAGTTCAAGTTCCTGATTTCCTAAAAAGGCTCCGACCGTCTTTAACGTTTGACTCGTCTGTAAGCTTCGGCTCAGAGCTACTGATGGAGATCACAAATGAACTTCCCCCACAATCCCTCTGGCTTCAGCCGCCCTCCGACCACAGCGGCTTCATAAGAGGAGGTTTAATATCAGCTGATCCTGCAAAGCTCAGAGAAACAGAGCAGCGATCAGAGGATTTACCGGCCTGAAGGTACCGACAGTCGGACCTGGAGTCGGACCCTGAACGTCTCACCGCTGCCTTCAGGGACTGAAACCTTCTGCCCTGCTCACATTAGACCTGTGGCGTAACAATCACCAGCAGGTTGACGTCTGCAGCAGCATCAGAACTCATTGAACCTTATTGGTCTGTGATCATTTTAATTCTGACAAACTGAAATAAAACCTGGTCATGTTCACAACGGCTCGAACAGAAAGAAGTGTAAGAAAATTATTACGGCTTTTATCACGACTGCAGCTCGTTAATGAGGCCTTGATGCACTTTGAGGGTAGAAAAGGTTGAATGAATGAATGAATGAATGAATGAATGAATTCTGGAGCATCACAGTCAACGGAAGGAGCAACACAATCTTCTGCAGAATCTTTGCAAAAGTCCACGACTGAAGCTCATGGTTTAGACCTTCAGGGCAGAACCGATGCTGCTGTGAGTTCCTCTGATCTTCTACCTGCAGCAGCTGAAGCGCTCCTCAGGTGTCGTCCCTCCAGCGGCTGCAGCTGACATGACGAGGCGTTCATGAACTCATGGAAGAGTCTCAAACATCCTCCCCGATCTGTTCAGTTCTGTGATCCGTCCTTTGCCATCATTAAATCTAGCGAATGTTCCTGATATTCACTGATCTCATCGGTTATTCGGCCAGTGGAAGATGTTTCTGATCAGCATCCAGCATCAGCGGTTATCATCACTAGATGTGTTCAGAACCAGCTGTCTGATGGTGAAACTGGAGCTCGGTTCTTATCGTGTCATGATTAAAGCTGCAGAGTCGCTGGAGGTCACTGGCTTCGCTCTATTAACTGCTGAGTCGCTGCCCCGTGCAGCTTCTGCTTTGTGCTGAGTCATGATCTGCGCTGCGTCCTCAGTGACTCAGCAGCGATGACGAACCGAAGCTGCTCCGGCTGAAGCAGGTTGGAGAGCGAGAGGCTTCAGGCTGCTGATGGACAGACCTGCTGCTTCGGCCGTGCTTCCTCCTTCTTTACACACTTTATTGATCCCAAAGGAAGCTGCAGTTCAGAGGTTCCTTCGCTTTACAGCCATTTCTATTGAACTAAACATCTTCCTGCAGGTTGTTTTGGTCTTCTTGTGTCCTGGTTCTGCCATATTGTCTTGTCTTTGTCGTCATTTTGTCTCCACATGTTGTCGATATTTCACATTTTTACAGCCTCTATAAACTCAGTTGGTCTCCTTCTTGTTTTGTTGTTTTTGTCATTTTATGTCGTTTCGTCTCTTTAAGACATTTTTGTCTCCTTTGTGTCTCTGTGTTCATGTCGTCTCCACATCCTGCAGAGTTGAACTATCTCCATGTCTCCAGACTTCTCCTCTCTGCTCATCTGCTGTAGAAAGATGTTCCACCATCAGATGAATGCATCTCCACCAACTGGCTCCTCTGGTCTCTGGTTCTGATCCGTGCTGCATCTATTCATTGATCCAGCAGGTTGGATTCTCCTTCAGTCTCTCTGAGGAAACTCTGGCTGCTGTTCACCTGAAGCTCTCTGAATGGTTCCTGTTGGTCAGAACCAGGAGGAGAAAGGTTCTGGTTCTACAGGATCAGAACCAGGAGGAGAAAGGTTCTGGTTCTACAGGATCAGAACCAGGAGGAGAAAGGTTCTGGTTCTACAGGATCTGTTGCAGACGCTTTATTTTGGGAGGATAAAACCTGACGTGTCATTCCAGCTCTTTTTAATTGTTTCCTCTGCAGGTTACAGACATTGGTCGTCGCTTCTTCTGTGTCTTTAGGAGGTTTTCAGTCATTGTTTTATCTGTAACGTCCATGTTTCTCCTCTGAGCTTCAGCAGACAGCAAATGGACTCGACCACAAAACAAGCTGAACAACCAGAACACGATGCTGGTCTCAGCTCGTGTCACGATGTTTCAGTCGGCTGGACAGTTTTTATTCCACCAGCAGCAGGACGAAGCCACCAACGAAGAAGAGAGACTGTTTAGAAGTACTTCATATCTAAAATCTGCAGCGAGGCTCAGAAACCCAAACCTCTATTAAACCAAAATAGCTTCTTCCAAACTTGGAGAAACGTGGTCTGAGCAGGACGGAGGTGCAGCGTGGGCAGGTGTCGCTGCAAAGTTCTTCATATATAGTCTTGGGCTGCAGCCCGAGGCCTTACAAGTCCATGTTCAGGGAGAAATAATCCACCTGCCCAGGAGCCGCTGATCCTCCCAAATCCACCGAAATCCTCCGACATGCTGCAGATCTGCAGGTCAGAACCTCGGAGACCCCGAGCAGGCAGGACGAGAGGCTCAGCAGAGCAAACAGCAGCCTGGATTTAAAAAATTAACCCGAACCCAGAGCTCAGCGTCTGTCTGCAGATTAACACCTGATCTGGAGTGAAAAGCAGCAACGGCATGAAAAGCTCCGTTCTCCTCCTGAAGGAAGTCCTCCGAAGTAGCCACACAGCAAAGTCCAACCACCGACACACATCAGACCCGACGATAAACTTTGTTTATGCTCATGTTTGTATTTTATTCATTCATTTGCACATTTCTGAAATAATTTTGGACATTTCATGAATATTTTTCAGCATAAATTTTTTACTGTGTTGATTTTTGGAGCCTTTGTTTTCTTCACGCTTTATTAAAACTTTTTTATTCTTTAATATTTTGGAGATTTAATTTTTGCCTTTTTATATTTTTTAGTATTTGTGACACTTTAAAAAAAAAAAAAAAAAAAAAAAAACCTTTTCTGAATATTTTGGAGCATTTTTATTTTTTACTTTTTTAAATTTTGGGGCCATGTTATAGTTTTTTTTCCTCACATTTTATTAAATGCGGTGAAATGTTCTTATTTAATTTGGGGTGAAACAGTCAGTGAGTCAGCTGCAGGTGACTTTAGTTGGCATCAGGTCGTATTCAGCAGAGGAACCAGAGGCTCCAACAGGACGAGACACAAGAAGAACAAACTGAGTTCTGATCCACAGATCTGCTCCGGGCTTTCTACCACCAGGGGTTCTGCTCAGATGTTCCATCGTTTTACTGAGATAGTGAAACGTTTTAAGGAAGTAAAAGTGTTTGTTGGAATCAGAGACATTTGACAAATGATGAACTCACTCTGCTGCTTGGAGGAAACGTTCTACGTACAGAAGTCTAAACATATTGAAAAGCTTTTTTTTTTTTTTTTAAGTAAAATAAATTTTAAAAAATTGCAAATGTTTTTTTTTAAATGAAACTATTTAAAAAAATACACAATTGTATAAAACATACATAAATTTAAACAAACATAAATAAAACCAACATTTTATTAAAAGACGTCAGAATATTGAACCCTGTAAAAGAATAATATATATATATAATATCGTAAAAAAATAAAAAAAAAATAATAAAAAAAAACCAAACAAACATCTAAAACATCAAGTCTAAAGCAGTCGTTGTAAACCAGCTGTTTAATCTTTAACTGTATTTTAAATCCAATCAAATTAAATCTGATTCATATATCACCAGTTCAACAAACCAGATCCAGACCTCGTGGACTCATGAACCCAACAATCCTAAGTTACCTGTTGAGTCCCTTTTAGCGCCGACTGTGGGAAGGAACCAAAAAACCTTGAAGGAGGAGATTAAACAAACAAACAAACAAACAAGACTCAGAGCGAACCAGGATCAAATACCTCCAAGGTTCTGTACAGTAGAACTGGAGGCCAAGGCGATGCCATCTAGAGCAGCTGTCTGGTTCCAGAGTGTGTTTCTGAGGTGTTTAGGGCCAAATACAAGAACCTCAGTGTGTCTGGATTTAAATGGAGATTCCAGGTCATCCAGGTCTTTATGTCCTTCAGACATGTTGGAGTCTGACCAGCTGGTTGGTTTCATTTGGCTTCATAGATAAATATATAATATAGGTCCTGACACAGAGCCCTGTGGAACTCCATAACTAACTGCAGGTGGAAGAACCATCATTAACATGAACAAACTGGAATCTGTCTGATAAATATGATTTAAACCAGTTCAGTGCAGTTCCTTTAAGTCCAGTAAACATTCCAGTCTCTGTAATAAGATGCTGTGATCCACTGGATCAGATGCAGAACTGAGATCCAGCAGAACCAGTACACAAACTGGTCCACTGTCTGAGGCTATAAGAAGATGGTCAGTGACCTTCAGCAGTGTGTCTCTGTTCTATGATGGATTCTAAATCCTGACTGAAGCTCTTCAGACAAACCATTTACATGCAGATAAATTACATAATTAGCTTCAGAAATAAAGGGAGGTTGGATCTGGGCCTATAGCTGGATCACCTGGATCTAGAGCAGGCTTTGTGAGCAGTGGTTTTATTGGAGCTACTTTAAAAGCCTGCAGTACGCAGCCTGTTGATATAGAGAAGCTGATGATATTTAATACTGCAGCATTTATTAGAGGGAAGACGTCCTTCAACAGTCTAGTGGGGATCGGGTCTAACAGACATGCTGCTGGTTCAGAAGAATTTACTGCTACCTGTTTGTTTGTTTGTGTGTCTGCAGGCTCCTTCAACAGCAGCCTGCGTCCTCCTGAAACCTTCTTTAAAGTCATTTTCTGGTTGGGATACTTCAACAGCTGTCTGAACCCCATCATCTACCCCTGCTACAGCCGCGAGTTCAAGCAGGTACTAACACCACCAGCACCACCAGTACCACCAGTACCACCAGTACCACCAGTACTAGTAGTACTAGTACCACCCCACCATCTGCCCCCGCTGTCACCACTGTTAGTACTACAGCTGCTGCAACTGCTGACATGTTTGTGTGTCTGTGTGTGTTGTTGTTGTTGTTGTTGTTGTTGTTGTGTGTGTCTGTGTGTGTGTTGCTGTTGTGTGTCTGTGTGTGTTGTTGTGTGTGTGTCTGTGTGTGTGTCTTCGTGTGTTTCCAGGCCTTCATCCGGATCCTGCGCTGCCGCTGGAGGAGGAAGCGTCCCGGCTTCCAGACCAACTTCAACCATCGCAGCCACCAGAGCTCCAACAACTCGTCCTTCCTGAACGGCAGCCAGCAGACGCTGTCCTCCGTCACGCCCAGCCCCCGCTGCGTCACCTCCAGACTCCGCCCCCCGCCCTGGAGCTCCGCCCCCGCCGACAGAGAGCTCCTCCCCGGATCGGCGGCGGGGGGACGGCCGAGCCCGCGGTCTCCGTCCGCTCAGGGTTCTGGGAGGAGCGCGACGAACTGACGGAGCTGGTCATGTGACTGCACCTGAGAAAGAGGCGGAGCTACAGGTTCCTCACAGATCGCTTAGTCCAGAGTTTAACGTGCAGCATGTAAAACACAAACTTCTCAGAGAAATCCTCCAATCAGCAGCTTCCGTCTGCTCTGTCTTCATCGGAACCCAACTACTGGATCCGAACCTCGGAAATACACTTTAAACTAGAATTCACTGCAACAATCAGCACAGAATTCAACTATTCACTCAGTTTAAATCCAAAGTGGGTGAAAAACAAAAGTAAATCAAAAAGTGAAAATCAGAAATGATTTAGTGAAACTCTGACCGGAAGCTCCGCCATAAACCTGTAAAACCATCTGGAAGTCGATTCCAGGAATATTTATACAGATAAATATTAGCATATTATATCATTTAGGTATATTTTGGTAAAAATCTCTTTAAAGATCAAAAATAAGTTCCTGAAATGAACTTAAACAGCAAGAGATCAGCTAAAGCAACAAACTCACAAAACATGATAAATATCCGACATGTTCTGGTTTATGATGTTACAGAACAAACTCACAAAGTCCAAATGATCTGAAAAAGGTTTGAATATTTCCAGTCGACGTGAATTAAACCAAGAGAAGCATCAAAGTGAACCTGGTGGTTTTTGTTCTGGATGCTGTTATGATTTTTTCCTACATTTACTTCTTGTCATTATTTTTTATTTATGGTTATTTATTGAGCTTCAGAAAGTTGAAATGAATCTCAGTGGCCCTGTTCTGTTCTGTTGTGCCTCCTGCTGGTTGTCAGAGGAACTGCAGCTGCTGGAAATTGAATCACAAACAGTCTGGAAGTGCAGGGGGCTGAAATAGGAAGCAGGTTCAACAAAGCCAGACTTTCTTTGTGTTAGCTGGCTCAACAAAACCCAGAACCCCGATCGGAGATGGTGTTAGTAATAGATACAGATATATCAGTCAGATTGTGTTTGTCAGGTTTCTCTGTGAACCAGATTTTCTTCTCCATCATCCGAACATAAAAAGAGGCATGTGTCGCATCATGTGACTACGTACCTGGACCAATGGCGTGAGGCCTCCTTCGGTCAGAGAAGCAGGTTGTTCTAGTGCCAACCTGTGAGGAAGAAAGCATCTTGCTATCAATCAGTCCAGACAGGAAGGCGGTGTGGCACCAGTTACCATGGTGATTCGGCCATTTGTCACCAGTTGCCATGGTGATTTGGCCATTTGTCACCAGTTGCCATGGTGATTTGGCCATTTGGCAGCAGTAACCGTAGTGATCTGGCTGAGCAGCAACCGTTACCACGGTGATCCGGCTGGTTACAACAGACACGTCTGTCTGAAAACTACAATTTTAAGATCAGCAAACCTGCAAACACGTGAATCTTGCTTTGTAGCTCAGCCCATAGGTGTGTGTGTGTGTGTGTGTGTGTGTGTGTGTGTGTGTGCAGGCTAACAGTTTCCCTCTGCTTCCAGTGTTTGTGCTAAGTTAGGCTGACCTTGTTCTGCATGTATCTGTCTGTGCAGAGCGATGGGTGAAGACAGAAGCAGATTTCACGGCACATTTATTTCAGTGGAACACCTGGTTTGAAGTGTTACACCTGCAGACGATGATTTAATGAACCACCTTCTGCTCCGTCAGGATTTGGTCTAATGTGTGACAGACATGAAACACGTTTGTTAACGAACCGACGACAACCAGTGGTTCTGCTGATTAGCTCACCTGTTTAAGGTTTTTGTTTTTTTTGGAAAGATGGAAACACATCCCAGAGCGACATCCTCAGTCTGCCGATCCATGAAGACAATCACATCTTCTGTATTTTTACATGACAGCTCCAGAGACAAACCCAGTCTGCGACGTCACACTAACATGAACGTGCACTTATTTAACACTGTACAGCCGTTTCCACTTCATGCTTCATGATTTATTCTAAGCTGATGTGTCTCCAGGTGGATTCTGGGACCATTTGTATTTCCACTGACAACAACGTTTATCATTTAAATTCTGATTTGAGCTTTGGCTCCTTTAAATAGTCATTAACGTGCAGATGGACTGTGGATGAAGAAAACCCGCTGCTTTGGTCAGAAATAAACGAAGGGTTGAAATGCACGTAGAAGACGAAAGGACGTAACGGGTAAATTGCACAAAATAAAAAAGAACTTAAAATGGTTTGTATAGCTATTTCTGAAAAAAGAAAACATTTGTGATCACAAAATAGATGAACAAATGTCTTTTCTACAGTTTTTCCTCGTCTGTTTCATGATGTGTTATTTAGGTCACATGTTCTATGTTTCTGTTTTGGTCTCTCAGCTCCTGTTGCTGTAATGTTGTAGCCTCACTCTGAATTAAACTCATTTATAAAATGCTTCCATGTGCTGAATAATTTCTGTTTTTTATGGATTTATTTGACTGTGCATTTACTCACCATGTATCTACAAATATGAGCTTTTATTTATGAAATGCAACGTTTTTTTTAAATTTATTAATGACACTTTATTCATCTTTAGCCTGATTTTTATTGTAAATACTCTGAATGTGCAGACTTTAACCACACAAGAATTATGTTATGTCTTCTGTTGAAATAAATTCCGTTAAATAAACCATGAAACCTGTTCTATACAGTAAGATTCATTTAATGGAAAAGCACTTTGACTATCTCTGTTGTTGACTGACAGTTTTAGTCATTAACTTTTCATGGTTACGGTTTATGACGTCATGAATACAATCACACCCGATATATGTGGAAATAAACCGGAACGTTTGCTGTTTGTGGGCCACGGGATCTATCCAGCCTCCATCAGAAGTAAAGAAGCATTAAAATGAAAAGCAAGGTCCCAGAAATAAATAGAACAGAGAATATGTATGGAAATATTAAAAATGAGTGAATAGAAACGTTCAGTCGAGGTTTCATCTGCGTTTGGCTCCACCCAGTTTAAACTGTCCTCTCTCACGTCCGCAGTTCAGCCATAAACACTGAGTTCCTGTCGAGGAGGTTCTCACTTGTCTACGAGCTTGTAGAGAATCTGATAGCGGGATGTCTGGCAGAGGAAAGGGAGGTAAAGGACTCGGCAAAGGAGGCGCCAAGCGCCACCGCAAAGTCCTCCGCGATAACATCCAGGGAATCACCAAGCCCGCCATCCGCCGTCTGGCTCGCCGCGGCGGAGTCAAGCGTATCTCGGGTCTGATCTACGAGGAGACCCGCGG